CCGCTGAAAGCTCACAAATTACACAAGAGTTACAATCAACATGGAATTTTTTCAAGAAACACAAAGGACAGGCACTGCACTACGCGAACGCCGAAGTTTTCCCCTTCAAACTACATTAACAGCTGCTGCTAGGTGCTTACTCGATCAAGAAATTCCCACTGCCGTGTTCACACTGGACTGCACTCTGAGCCATTTTAATTAAATCCTCCCACTTCCGTGTAGGTCTTGCTAGTGGCTCCTTATCTTCGCGTTTTCTGATTAAAACTCTGTGTGAGTGTACTTCACATCTCGTATGCATGCTTCAGTCTTCGCTCGTCTCTTGTTCCCTGACACCCCCCCCCCCACACACACACACACACAAACACATAAAACTTACTCCTCATAAGAAGAGATTTTTCTTCTATCCTTTCTCTGTTAAGGCTTTGACCGGGATGTTCTTTTGTTAAATCTTATGTGGTACCGCCTGATTCGACTTCTAATGGTTAAGTGAAGTGTTTTCTTCGCGGTACGGTCTGGATTCGTAAATATTATGAAGACGAGCTTCGGCTTCAAAGGGTTAACCAGCTGATTTTCGTAATGGTGAGGTGTAGTGTTTTCTTCGCGGTACGGACTGAATTCATAAATAATATTCAGACGATCTTCGGCTTCAAAGGGTTAACGGCAGTCACCCAAATGTAGAATTCCAAATTTATTTGCTCATTAAATACACGCACGTGCGTAGGCCAGGAATGACCCTCATACTTCGTAACTGAGTCAGTTGCATGATGGATTATAGGGAGTTTAATTATAACATGTAAGATCATACAGTTCAGTTTCGCCAGGCGCCCGTCAGATGTCATATTTCGAATTTCACACGCGTCTATTTCAAGGCCATTGCACCCTTCGAGGCGCGAAAATTGAGTTGCTGGTCCAGCAGAAAGTGATTTTGCCAGCTTCTGATTGGGTAAACTGCTACGTGTGAAGAGATTTCGGAATTTCCACCCTCCGCCTCCACACATTTCAATCGGAATCCTGTCAAAATCGTATTCGGATAACCCGGTCTCTACTGTACCAGGATATCATTTACAAAACAGAACCACTTTTAATCGAAGATGCGTACGTCAATTTCCGGGGCAGCGAATACGCAGACTCAAGACAACGAAGACACTTGATGCGGTTTCAGATCAGTCTCGCAGTCCTGTCTCTTCCCCTCGTCCCGCAATACAAAAGGGACTGAGGGCTGAGGGAGAAAGGACCACATAACGGTCGCATCCTGTTGCCAACTTCTGAACACGAACTACTCACGTGCGTTAAATAAAAAGGCACGGAATGATTTCTTTGCATAAGCGGTTAAGAGAGATGGAATAAACGCGATGTACAAAGTTGTGTCCACCTGGGCCTCGGCCTTGTAAGTACCAACTTCGTCTCTGCATCGAGTCATGGCGACATAACCTGCAAAATCTTTCCAGAAAAAGTACGTCACCCATTTGATGTTGCAGAAATTCCACAACCGAAGTTTATACGTTGAGTTGGAGTCTGGTGTTAAAAGTTTTGATTTCGAATGTTTAATAAGCCGTGTTAAAGATTTAAAAGGTAATCCAACGCACGCAACGTATCTGCCAACTTCCATACTCCTTCTGTCCTGTGTGAGAACTTCTTGAAGGACGAAGCTATGGACGTCGTATAATTTCTGAAGGTCGCGGCGTTCGTCAGATTCTCAATGTGGAGGTCCCGGGTTCAAATATTGGCCCGGAGACCGAGATTTTTTTTTCTGGTTTTCCTCACTCGCCAGGAAAATTCCGGGAAAGTATCAAATCAAGCCA